TTGAGGAAGTGCCTGATGTCTTCCATTCAGATGGGCACTGCTTTGTTTTAACTCCTACCACAAGAGTCATCATTCTAGCATGCTTGACAGGTCTTTGGGAATATGTGAAAATGAAGTCCCAAGGAACTTGTGGCATGTAAGACTACATAGAGAGTGGTGGACCGTTGACATTTCCTAGAAATGCTGAGCTGAACCTAAATAATAGACAATACTATAATTCAACTGATTTATTTTTAAAAAGATATAATACACTTTGTCCTTGCCTTTGAACACCCTCTGGCTATGGCAAGCCTAGTTTAGGATTGGAACATCCAGGGAGACAAAAAGGATAACTGAATGAAAAGGAAAATTTGAAGTTCTCTACATTTTGTAGAAATGGGTAAATGTTTTAGTTAGAAACAGCACTATATATATGTTCTATGTGATGCAGTCATTTAAATCTCTGAATAAGAGAATTGGATGAACCAAACTTCAGAGTGTGCTTTATTTATTAAGAATCTTCAGAAAATCTGGACTATTTTGAATCTCATTCTAGTCTCTTTCTGGGTACCTTCCTTTTATTTGTAGTGGACAATGTCATGTCTTGGTCCATTCTTATAATTTTTCTTTTAAGTTCTGCTTGATCTATTTTGTTTCATCTACTTGCAATTGTATCTCTGGACTGGGACAGTTTTGTAATTTATCTTTTCCAACGCTGTAATTTATCTTTTCCAACACTGATTATTTGCAGTTTAATATTTAGAGTTTATATAGAGTTTTAAGTTTGTTTTTCCTCTGTGAAATTGGTTTAACTCTCAAAAAGATGATAGTTGTAAATTCTACAGTTATGAAGAGATACTACCACTTAATGGTATTATGTGATATTATCACTACAAGAAGTGATAAGGGAGTTGAAGTTGCTAGACCTTTGGGCGAGAATGACCACATCATATTGGAATTCAATATGATGCAAACACAAGCAATAGAACATAATCCAACCAGTGTCTTAAACTTTAAAAGAGCTTATTTTAACGAATTCAGAGTGAGCCTAAGAAAGATCCCATAGATGGAAATCCTAAAAGGGAAAACAACTCAAGAAGCGTGGGAAACTCTGAAAAATATGATTATTAAGAGCCTAGTCCAGCACAATAGCACTGAAAAAGAAAAGCAAGAAATCCAAGAAGAAACCAGCATGGTTGCACAAATATCTAATAAACTAAAAGACAAAAAGAACAAGAACAAAAAATGGAAAGAGGGACACATAACTAGGGCAGAATATCAGCAGATAGCCCGAATCTGCAAAGACGAAGTCAGTAAAGAAAAGGCTCAGAATGAACAAAGATTTGCAACAAAAATCAAAGATAATAATAAAATAGTTTCTTTCAACATATAAATAACAAGTAAAAGTCAAGGAACATATAAATATCAAAAAGTCAAGTAGGTCCACTAAAGAGTGAAGATGGCAAGGAAGTAACAGGCAGCAGAGAGGAAGCAGAACTACTTAACTCATTCTTTGCATCAGTCTTCATGCAAAAAAACCCAAACAAACTATAGCCCAACCTACCAAAAACGTAACTGTAAAAGACAGACTAGGAATAAAAATTAAAATAAGGAAGAAAATGGTTGGCAGATATTATCTCAGAACCATTGTACCATATATTTCAAAAATCCTAGAACACCAGGGAATTACATGAGGACTGGAAAAGAGCTAATGTGGTTCCCATCTTTAAAAAAAAAAAAAAAAGGCAGGGGGAAGGGAGAACCAGACCCAAGAAACTACAGATCAATCAGCCTAACATCAATACGGGAAAAGATAACAAAAAACCAGATCTGCAAACGTCTAGAAGCAAATAAAGTTATAACTACCCTGTTTTCCCCAAAATAAGACATTCCCTGATAATAAGGCCAATCGGGTTTTTGAGCGCATGGCAATAAGGCCAAGCGCTTATTTCAGAGTTCAAAAAAATATAAAACAGGGTCTTATTTTCGGGAAAACACAGGGAAAGCCAACACAGGTTTGTTAAAAACAGACCATGCCAAACCAATCATTTCATTCTTTTGACAAAGTGACTAAATTTGTAGACATAGTATACTTAGATTTCAGCAAGGCATTCGACAAAGTAGACCACAACCTATTTCTTGGCAAGCTAGAAAAATGTGGGATAGACAGCATCACCACCAGATGGATTTGTAACTGGCTAACAAACCGTACTCAGCAGGAAGTCCTTAATGGTATTACATATACTTAGAAGGAAGTAAGAAGAGGGGAACCACAAGGTTCTTAGGTCCAGCCAACACCCTAGAATACAAGCTCAGAATCCAAAAAGATCTTGACACAGTTGACAATGGGCCCTATCCAACAAAATGTGAAGAAAAGCAAGGTTTTATACTTAGGCAGGAAAAACCAAAGGTACAAGTACAGATTAGGTGGCTCAAAAACAGTAACTGTGAGAGGGATCTCGGTGTCCTACCGGACAATCACTTAAATATGAGCCAGTAATGTACGGCAGGATCCAAACCAAAAGCTAGTACAATCATTGGTTGCATAATCAGAGGCAGAGAATCAAAATCACGTGAAGTATTAGTACCATTTTATAAAGACTTAGTAAGGCCACGCTTGGAATACTGCATCCAGTTTTGGTTACATTACAAAATGATGTTGAGACTTTGGAAAAAATGCAAAGAAGACCAACTAAAATAATTAAATGCCTAGAGACTAAAACATATGAAGAATAGTTGCAGGATTTGGATTGTCTAGAGAAAAGAAGGACTAGGGGAGACATGATAGGAGTATTCCAGTATTTGAGAGGCTGCCACAAAGAGGAGGGGGTCAACTTATTTTCCAAAGCACCAGAGGGCAGGACAAGAAATAATGGAAACTAATCAAGGAGAGAAACAACCTGGAATTAAGGGGAAACTTCCTAACAGTGAGGACAATTAACCAGTGGAACAGCTTGCCTTCAGAAGTTGTGGGTGCTTCATCACTGGAGCTTTCTAAGAAGAGACTGGACAGTCACTTGTCTGAAATTGTATAGGGTTTCCTGCTTGAGCAGGGGATTGGGCTAGAAGACCTCCAAGGTCCCTTCCAGCTCTATTCTGATTGAAGATCTAATGAAACTTAAGACTCAATTAAACAAAAGTGAAACAGTCACATACCTAAATGCTATATGACCAGAAGGTGGTGCTATAGAATTTTTCTTTTAAATTTTATCAACACAAAGACAGCACAAGTTTGTGTTTATTTATTTATTCAATACTCAAATATAGCTGCCCATCTCAATCCAATTGATTCTGGATAGCAAACAATATAACAAAACCATTACAAGTTATACATATAGGCAACTGAGGATGATCATAATTACATAAAAATTAACAGTGCAACCAGGTAACAGGCTCCCTCTAGTACTCCCAGGATTCAGGCTTTAGAGCCGTACAAAAGGCCAACAAGGTGGGGGCTATCCTGAGCTCTGATGGAAGAATGTTCCAGAGGGCAAGAGTTACTGCCTACAATGCATGCCTCCTGATCCCCACGGACATGCCTTCCCGATGGGCATCCTGGAATGCCAGCAGACATTCCTTGGCTGACGGGACCTGCAGCATCCTCAACGTACAAAACCAAATTGGATGGGTAGAAACTATTGGGAGAAGATAGCCCTTCAAATAATCTGGCCTCAAATCATGCAGGGCTTTAAAGGTAATAACCAGCACGAGTTATGAGACTTCTCTTACAACCTAGGATTACAGCGAGGATGCCTCATGAAATGCCCCTGGTAGATACAGAGTCTGTCGCAGTGAGAACTACCCAAGCTGCTACTCCAAACCAGGAGGCACAGAGTCAGGTGTGAAAACACAGAGGATTTCTGGGACTGGAGGTCTGACATCTCCAGCTGATGGGTTCAACTATTCCACTGCACCTTCAACTGGACATTCAATTATCCAATGGAAGAAAATGTATGTCTTGCATGAGTTTTCCTAGGGCTAGGACTCCAAGCTTCCCTCTGCCCCTTCCTTCCACCCATATCTCAAAAATCCCTTTTCTTGCAGTCCTCCCTCCCAAAAGCTGGAGTTTTAATTGAAATTAGGTATCCTAGGGTTACCATTTTTGACTGTAGTAATACCCAATCTTCACACTTACTAAATTGAGATTCATTCATTCATTCATCCATTCATTCTCTCTCTCTCTCTCACACACACACAACCTACCCAATAGTAATTCCAATGGTTCGCCAAGAAATACGCCACTTTTAACTCTGTTTTAACGAAACATCAAACGGAAAGCCATTTTCACGGAAAGGAAGAACTTCCTGACCGTACTCTTGCATTAGAGCCCAGTCAGCCCTGTCCTTACAGATAATAGTTTTTTGTAAAAACAGTGTGTGTGTGTGTGTGTGTGTATGTCTCAGCATTGACACACTTTTAAAAATGTATTTATTCAGATAAGCAAACTACTTGTTACCAATGTGCCTCACACAGCTTTGTATTGTGCTTATGGGGAGAAACGTGAGAAGGGAATCTTATGTGAGCCATTTTGAGCTCCTGAAAAGAGGGGGTGGGGGGAGAAGGGAGATATAACAATAACCTTTATTATCATTGTACATATATACAATGAAATTGATTTAGCCTCTATTGGTGCAATCCATAACAAAAAAACAGGACAACATGAATAATATAGAAAGTGGTCCTTATACAAGTAATTAGGGAGAAACCAGTCATATGTTTCCATGTATGCATGGAGAGTGATCTCAGTTGTATTTAGGATCATGGATAAAAGCTATTTTTAAACCTATTTGTCCGGCTGGCTATGCTTTTGTGTCTTCTGGTAAAAGTGAGAATAGACACTGACCAGGATGTGAATCGTCCCTAAGTATCTTCCTTTCTCTGCTGAAACAACAATTTAATTGCCATAGTAAATAAATAATTCCTTAGAAAGGTGCTTGTTCTGGGCGAGGGAAGCCTTTTATTGCCAATCCCCTCCCGCCCGGTTCCGAATATGAGCAACCGTTTCCAAACCCAGGGCGTACCTCTTCGGAAAGATACTTTTCTGAATCATCCCCTTCCTTCCTTCCTTCCTTCCTGCATCCCAGCGCCATCAGCATACCGGCTTTTTCGACAGCAAGAGAGGCATAGACCAGAGGTGGGCAAATGTGGCCCTTTTACAACCTGTGGACTTCAACTCCCAGAATTCCTGAGACAGCCAAGCTGTCTCAGCCAAGCTGTCTCAGCCAAGGAATTCTGGGAGTTGAAGTCCACAGGTTGTAAAAGGGCCACATTTGCCCACCTCTGGCATAGAAGGGTTTTAGCCTTTACGGCCAAGAGACTCCAGAAGGCCGCCCTCCTCTGTGCTAAACAACTTGAAGGGTAACGCAAGGCCAGCTTGTTCCAAGCAGCTCCCACAGGCGGAGCACTGAAAACTCGCGGTTATTCCCACGTGGCGGCTCAGGGCGGGATTCGAACCGGCATCTTGCCACATCCGCGCCGCGCTCCGGAAGCTCCGCCTCCGCCTTCACAACGGAATCCTAAGACACGTCAGCAAGGACTTGACGACCCGGAAGTTTTATTAACTTGGCCAAAGGGGGTTCTTCCATATATCTCCATAAATATTCTACAGAGAGTTTCCCCCCCCTCACACACACACATATTTCTGGTTTTTTCCCTAACCGAAGCGGAACTTTTGAAGGTGGGAAAAAAAAGCCTCTAAAGAAAAAAAAAAAGCTGCTGAACTACCCGCCAACGAGGCGTGACATCGGAAGTACTCTCCAGCGGGGCGGCTGTCAGCCGGAAGAAGCCCCGCCTCTTCGCTCTGTGCGGCGTGTCCGCTTGCTGGCGAGTACGGTGGCCGCGGGGGGAGGGATCAGCGCCGTTCCGTCTTTTGGGTTTCGCTTCTTGTTCGGAAAGCCGCGGCGACAGCAGCGATGGCTCCCAAGGGCAGTAGCGGCGGGGCTCGTCAGCAGTCGGAAGAGGAGCTGCTCCTGCAAGATTTCAGCCGCAACCTCTCGGCCAAGTCCTCGGCGCTGTTCTTCGGCAACGCCTTCATCGTCTCGGCTATCCCGATATGTGAGTAGGGGGAGAAAGGCGCTGGGTATTCGTCCCCCCCCCCCATTTCCTTGCCTCCTGCGGGCAGACATTCAGTAGGAGGCTTGACACCTCTTGGGGCGACCTGAAAACCGCTGCACCGGTGCCATGTCTGCCCGTCTCACATAATTAGATTAGATTGGACTAGGACTGAATAGAAAATTGAATTGAATTGTTGAATTGAATTGAATTGAACTGAACTGAATTGAATTGAATTGAATTGAATTGTTGAATTGAATTGAATTCTTTGTTGGCCAAGTGTGATTGGACACACAAGGAATTTGTCTTTGGTGCATAAACTCTCAGTGTACATAAAAGAAAAGATACATTCGTCAAGAATCATAAGGTACAACACTTAAGGATAGTCATAGGGTACAAATAAGCAATCAGGAAACAATATCAGTATAAATCCTGGGAAGTACATCTGGGAAAGCCAGAAGAGCCTCCACCTGGAGGAAATATTCCTTTTAGCACAGCTGGTCGGGCGGGGGGAGGGGGGAGCTCCAACTCAACATTTCTAGGCAGAATGAACTGGGAGAAAAGTGCCCCCCCCCCCCAAAAAATAAAACAGTTAAGGGAAACTTGCACCTTTCCTGTTTTGGGTGCTTCTGGCTTTTAAAGTCTCTTGCAGGTTCTGCTCCTCAAATATTAATAATGAAGGTCAGGTCAGGAACTAGAATAGAATTCTTTCTTGGCCAAGTGTGATTGGACACACAAGGAATTTGTCTTTGGTGCCTATGCTCTCAGTGTACATAAAAAGACAACTTGTCAAGAATCACAAGCCACAACACCCAGTGATAGTCATACTGTAGAATAAGCAATCAAATCATACTAGGAAACAATATCAATATAAATCGTAAGGATATAAGCAACAAGCAAATGAGTCTGCAACAAGCAAGTAAGCAACAAGCAAATGAGTCTGCATTGTCTGGAGGCTTGCTTTAGAATTTCAATCCCAGCAGCTCTGCTTTAGAATGAAAGGTAGCCTAATGGAAGGACTTTGTAGGATGTAGTATTATTACCCTATTACTATTTATCATTTAATAACTAAGTATTACAGGTAGTCCTCGACTTAACGACCACAGTTGAGGCCAAAATTTCTGGTGTTAAGTGAGACATTTGTTAAGCCATGGGATAAAATGTTACCTCCTTTTTACAACCTTTCTTGCCACAGTTATTAAGTGAATCACTGCAGTTGATAAGTTAGTAACCTGATTGTTAAGTGAATCTGGCTTCCCCATTGACTTTGCTTGTCAGATGGTCGCAAAAGGGTTTTGGTTACTACCTTTAAAGCGCTCCATGGCTTAGGACCTGGTTATCTACGGGACCGCCTGCCAATAGCCTCCCACCGGCCAGTACGCTCCCATAGAGAGGGGCTCCTCCGGATGCCGTCGGCCAAACAATGTCGGCTGGCGGCCCCCAGGGGGAGAGCCTTCTCTGTGGGGGCACCTATGATCTGGAACGAGCTTCCCCCAGAGATACGGAGAATCCCGGATCTTCGCACCTTCCGTCGCGCGCTTAAAACGTTTTTATTTCATCAAGCTGGCCTGGCCTAAATCATCTCTTTTAAATTTAAATTTTAAACATAAATTTTTAATCTGTTTAATTATGGGGTATTTTAAAATTCAGCCTAAATTATTTAATTTGTTTTAATTTATTTTAGATTTTGTATTTCCTGTGTTTTATCTTCTGGCTGTTCACCGCCCTGAGTCCTTCGGGAGAAGGGCGGTATAGAAATTTAATAAAATAAAATAAAATCACATGACCATGGGACACAGCAGCGGTCATAAATATGAACCAGTTGCCAAACGTCTGAATTTTGATCACATGATCATGGGGATGCTGCAAAGGTCGTAACTCTGAAAAACGGTCATAAAGTCACATTTTCCAGTTTCGTATGACTTTGAACGGTCACTAAATGAACTGTTGTAAGTTGAGGACTACCTGTGCTTAGAAGCCAAAAATAGACAATGGCAAATTACTGTCTGCCAAGAAAACGGCACTGAATTCTTAAGCTGAATTCAAGAATGCCTTTGTCTCCCTTTATTCATAAAGATATGTTCATACAAATTGCGTGTATTTACTTATAGGCAGTGTTTTTTCTTAAGTCAGTCTGAAGTAGTGATTTAGGAGGTTGTACAGGTAGTGATTAGAACTGTTGCTAAGCAAGGTGGTTGTTAAATGAGTTGCACTAGATGTTATCTTTTGTTTTGCCATGGTTGTTAAATGAATCACTGCATTTGTTAAATGAATCACAGTCATTACCGAAATGCAAGTTCCCCCATTGAATTTGCTCATCAGATGTTGGCTGGGATGGTTGCCAGATGGCAATCCCATGCCTTTGGGATGCTGTACCATCATAAATACATGCTGGTTGCCAAGTTCACAAATTTTGATCACATGATCATGGTTATGATGTGATGGTCGTAAATGCGAGGACCAGCTGCACATTGTTTTTTTTCAGTGCTGTTGTAACTTTGAACTGTTGCTAAATGAATGCTTATAAGCTGAGGACTACATATAATAACTGAAATTGTGTGAGGGGGTATTTCTAAAACAAATCTTTATGACTTGCCCTTGCATTTAAAACCTCCTCAGGTCTGTAAAACAAAGAAAAGCTGAAGTAAGATCATTAGCAGATTGGTGGTTTCACTTAGTGACCGCTTTGCTTAATGACCAAGTTGCCAATTCCAATTATGGTTGCCAAACAAGGACTACTTGTACCTGTTTTATTATAGCAAGCCAGCAAAATGTATTGTGCATGCTAATAATAAAGTCATAATTATGTTTACATTTTTTCACCGTAGGGCTTTACTGGCGGATCTGGCACATGGACCTCTTTCAGTCTGCAGTACTCTACACTGTAATGACCCTTGTCAGCACCTATTTGGTTGCTTTTGCTTACAAGAATGTGAAGTTTGTTCTTAAGCACAAGTAGGTAGTAAAACTGTTTCTCTAAAAATGTACTAAATTAAAATATTCTTTCAGTTTTATCCAGCTGTATCGTTAAAAACCATTTCAAATCCGCCATGGCATATTCAATTATAAATATTTTAATAAATAAATAAATAAATAAATAAATAAATAATTTTATTTCTATACCGCCCTTCTCCCGAAGGACTCAGGGCGGTGTACAGCCTATTTAAAAACACAGAAACAAAACAATAATTAAAATTTAAAATCATTAAATAATTAGGCTCCAATTAAAATCCCAGAAATTTAAAATACCCCAATTTAAAACGTTATGTTAATAGCCCGGCCTGGCGGAACAAGAGCCTTGGTACTACAGTGGTTTAAAGCACCCTGTTATTAACACAGCTGCCTGCAATTTACTGCTGGTTCGAATCTCTCCAAGCTCAAGGTTGACTCAGCCTTCCATCCTTTCTAAGGTAGGTTAAATGAGGACCCAGTTTGTGGGGGCAATAAGCTGACTTTGTATAAATATACAAAAGTATGAAGGCTATTGCTTAATGCACTGTAAGCCGCCCTGAGTCTCCGGAGAAGGGCGGCATATAAATCAAATTAAAAAAAAACACAAAACAAAACAGGGTCTTCAGAGCGCAGCGAAACACCCGGAGGTCGGAGATCTTACATATTTCCGGGGGCAGTTCATTCCACAGGGCTGGGGCTCCCACAGAGAAGGCCCTCCCCCTGGGTGTCGCCAGCCGACATAACTTGGCCGATGGCACCCTGAGGAGACCCTCTCTGTGGGAGCGGACTGGTCGGTGGGAGGCTATTGGTGGCAGAAGTCGGTCTCGAAGGTACCCGGGTCCTATGCCATGGAGCGCTTTAAAGGTGGTAACCAACACCTTGAATCGCACCCGGAAGACCACTGGGAGCCAGTGCAGCTCGCGCAGGAAGGGTGTCACGTGGGCGCCACGAGTACCTTGCATTTTGAAAGGTTTCTGAAGCTGCCAGTAACAGATTTACTGACAACTCTCAGCCACTAGAATGCAAAGCTTTACAGTATTTAATTTTCAATAGAGAAATAGGCTTTGTATATTGATTATTAATGCATTTCAATAGCAATCACAGTGTTTGATGCAGTTACAAAATTGCAACTTTAACTGAAA